TGATTCATGTGCAAAGTGCATCAAGTCCAGGTTGAAAAAGTTGGCATTTCTATGTGGAGTTTGCATGTTCTCCCTGTAGTGGCATGGGTGCTCCGGTTTCCTCAACAGTCCAAAGACATGCTCTATGGGTGAATAAAGTAAAATAAATTGGCCGTAGTGTACGAACGTGTATGAGTGTACTGGGTTGTGGCTGTAAAGGCATCTGCTGAGTAAAACATATAAAGGAATAGTTGGCAGTTCATTCTGCGGTGGCGACCCCTGATAAATCGAAGGAAAATTAATGTACTAAAGAGGAAAAAAGTCATCAATATACTCTGAGGATGAATAAATTAAAGGGATAGTTCACCCAAAAATAAAAATGTTCTCACTATTTACTCATCCTCAAGTGCTTCCAAACCTGTTGAACACAAAAGAAGATACTTTGAAGAATGCTAGAAAACTGTAACCATTGACTTTAAAACTAATACAATGAAAGTCATCTGCTTCTGGATTACAACTTTTTCAAACTATCTACTTTTGTGTTCTACAGAAGAAAGAAACAGGTCTGGATGGTGAGTAAATGAAGACACTTTCCCTTTAAAAGCAAATGTACATTGGGGAATCTGTTGAATTATTATTAATTTACTATTACTCACAATGCACCTCAAACATGTCTTGTGTCATAATGTATATATAACATATTTCATAACGTATACAGTATTTCCAGGTTTATATCAAATGTTAATTCCCATATCTTCAACATCAGCTCCACTCCACAGTCTGCAGTGGTTGAAAGTTTGGACCGCAGGATCCGTTCGCTTGTGCAACATTTATAGGATTTGAAATCTGAGATTGCTGGAATGAGAAAACCATGTTTTTTTTACAGTCTGAAACATTTGCACAGACATCCTGGACTCCATCAGTAAAAGAAGCAGGCCGTTTACTGACACTGGTCCATCAGCTCGTCTCAGACACACACTATGAATTATTCAGTCTGAAGTTATGAGCTGCTGATGAGGGACTGAAATATTCTCTCTCTTTCATTTTCCCGCTCGCTTTATGTGGAGTCGAATCAAGAATCAAGAAAACGCACTGCCTTTTCCCCTACTAACTGGAGAAACGAAAACATTTCGAAAAGATCCCTCAAAGACATCGCCAGCACAGCGGCAGACAACAAAAAAAAGCATTCTGGGGGTCGAACAAAAACACAATGGTATTCTCTCACAGTTTTATAAAAACCAGCTTGTGAATGTTTAATCCGTAGCTGGAGCTCTCAAGGTTTCACTAAACCCTGCATGCTTGATGCTTTTTCAAATATATTCTATCAGTGCACGTTTTATTCTGAAGGGTCAGCCGCATTTGTAGTTTCAAAGACTTTCTGCATGGAGATGAAAAAAGACGATTTCACATGTTTAAACTGATCATGTAAAGTCATAAATAAAAAGCCTGCATGGTCTGTGTTTTATAAGGTTGATGAGTAAAAGATAAGCCCTTCTAAGAAATGATAATTCCTTTAAAATATTTCCCAATTGCTGTTTGACAGAGAGAACATTTTAAATATAGTAGTTTTAATACAGCAGGGAAAATAAGTATTGAACTCGTCATGTTTTTTTTTTCTGGGAATCATATTTCTAAAGGAGCTGTAGACATGGAATTAATCCAGATTTTGGCAAAAACCCAAAATAAAACAAAACAAAAAACAATGGAATGACACAAGGAGAAAGTACTGAACTACTGAAATGTATTTAATACTTTATATAAAAGGCTTTTTAGTGACGGCAGCTTAAAGACGCCTCACATATAGAGAATGAAGTCGCATGAATTACTCAGGAGTGAGTTTGTCACAGACTTCATCACAGTGTAAAAATCTTGATGGTTCTGTGGGTCTCGTCTATCAAATCTGCTCTTTTTATTGTATTTTTTATTGGATTCAAGTCAGGTGATTGGCTGGGCCATTCTACAGCTTGATTTTCTTTCTCTGAAAGTGTTTGAGAGTTTCCTTGGCTGCGTTTTGAATCACTGTCTTGCTGAAATGTCCACCCTGGATTTATCTTCATCATCCTGCTATAGTAAATGTTGGACTGAAGGAGCTAATATTCATTTACACTGAGGAAGAGAAGAGGACTGCTAAAGAACTACAGAGTGATTTCAGCTGCTGTCTGGGCATTCACTGCCTTTCTACACCTCTCTTTCTTCATGTGTTCAATACTTTTTACCAGTGTCATTTCATTTTACCATGCATAACTTCATTTGTAAACTAATTAGATTTGTTTCCTTTGCATATATTGATTTCTTTGGTTGTTACCAACATCTGGTAAAAATTTCAAGTCAACATCACCTTTAAGAAATGTTTTCTAAGAAAAATGGTGGCATTTTCAATACCTACTTTACCCACTTTAACTTGTTTCTTTTGTCTTTCCCATGATGACAGCACATAGCATTTTACTGGTTACTTTGGATGATACTAGTAGCTTATAGTGCAATTTGAAGCATTAAAAAAGATTGAACTGGTTATTTAGGTTAACTAGCCAAGTTGGGTTAATTAGGCATATCATTTGACAACAGTGCTTTGGTCTTTAGCCAATTAAAACAAATAAACATCCTAATAACAGGAATGTAATAACCACTAGTTAGTAGTGAGGATTGCTTTTAAACCATAATGAGTATTACTGAAATGTTAGGTTAATGCCAACTTTTCTTGAAAGGCACTGCGGGATTCTGGGAATTTTTATTTAAATGGCCAAAAGATCATCTTTATGTCTCTCTTTACTAGATGTAAAATAAGTGTCTGATGTCTCTAGAGTGTATATGTGAAGCACAAAATTCCCACAAATCATTTTAAGTATTGAAATTGCCCCTTTTAGGCTTTGATCCAAATTGTGCCATTTTGGTCACTTTTGCTTTAAAGGGGACCTATTATGCTCCTTTTAACAAGATCTAAAACAAGTCTCTGATTTTCCTAGTGTGTATATGTGAAGTTTCAGCTCAAAATACCCCACAAATAATGTTTTATAACTCTTTGGAACTTTCTCAGTACTGGGTTGCAGCCTGAAAGACATCCGCTGTGTAAAACATATGTTGAATAAGTTGGCGGTTCACTCCGCTGTGACGACCCCTAATTAAAAAAGGGACTAAGCAGAAAATAAAGTGAATGATAGAATGAACTCTTTAAAACTGACCCTTTTTGGTGACTGTCGCTTTAAATTCAAATGAGATTGTGCTCTTTTCAGTAGCGGACGGAGCTACAAGTGCATGTGTGTCAGCATAGTGGCAGATTCAAAAACATGACTAACGTCCTATGCTAATGAGGGAGAGATCTTTACTAATGGGCGGGGCTTTTCCTCTCTGATGACATGTACAACGGGAGAATGCCAATCAAAATGTCTCTGCAGACTGTTTCTATGAAGTGTGACTGTAAAAAACAAAAGTAACAATTCATTATCATTATAAGCTGGTTATATTCACAGACTGTTGAAACACGACTGTATTTAAACCCCCTGTAAAAGTGATTTAAGCATAATAGATCCCCTTCAAATTCAAATGAGATTGTGCTCTTTTCAAAAGATGGCCGAGCTACAAATGTGCCAGCATAGTTGCAGATCCAAAGCAGTGATAAAGTTATTTCTGTGAAAAACTGAAATATTTAAATGAAATGTCTCAGAAGAAAGCAGTTTATGGAGACTACAGTGTACATTTGTGCATCGTAAAACTTTACATTAATCATTTTCATAGTCGCTGATATTATTTTTGGCAGGTGTGCCGTAAAACCTCTGATGGTGGATGGCTGCTTCTCACTTAGTGCTGTTTATGCTAATGAGGGTGAGATCATCACTAATGGGCGGGGCTTTCTCTCTCTGATGACATGTACTAATGTCAATAAACGTGTTACAGCAGACCATTTTTATGAAGTGCGATTATAAAAATATTTTAAAAAGTATATTCACACACTTTGGCCACACAAATGTGACATAACATAAACATAAAAGTGATCTTTGCATAATATGTCCCCTTTAAGTAAGTAAGTAAGTAGTGTGCATTTATATGGCGTATTCAGTGTATGGCTATACACCCAAATCGCTTCACAACCATGAGGGGGTTCTCCACCACCAGTGTGCAGCATCCACTTGGATGATGCGACGGCAGCCACAGGACAATAGTGCGAGTGCGCTCATCACATACCAGCTATTGATGGAATGATAGAGCCAATTTGGTGGATGGGGATGATTGGGAGGCCATGATGGTAAGGGCCAATGAAAGGAATTTGGCCAGGACACCAAGGTTACACCACTAGTCCTTATGAGAAGTGCCATGGGATTTTTAACAACAACAGAGAGTCAGGACTTCTCATCAGTATAGCATCCCCATCACTGTACTGGGGCATTAGGACACACACAGACCGCAGATTAAGCGCCCCCCTACTGGCCTAACTAACACCACTTCCAACAGCAACCTAGTTTCCCCATGTGGTCTCCCATCCAGGTTCTGACCAGGCTCAGCCCTGCTTAGCTTCAGCAAGTAACCTGTCTTGGGCTGCAGGGTGATAAGGCTGTGGCATAACTTACATGATTTAACCCAACCCGAGCTAATAAATATTTATAAACAGTGCGCAATACTTTGAGCACAGTTCTGAAATCCCATTCATATGCCATTTAAAAATAATATATTAAGAACTGTTACAGCCAGTCAGAGCAGAAACTGAACAGCCTGCTAAATATAAAAGAATCTCACATCTCTCTTCATGTGTAACCTATGCGCAACATCTGCCTTAGGTGGCTGTTTGAACTGATTTACACCACTGCTGCTATTTTTCACAGGTTGCAATGGCGTCGAGTCGAGAAGAATTGCACTGGGAGTGGAAGAAACCGACAGCACAGAAAAGCATGAGACAGAGCGAGTCTTTTATGTCTCCTGAAACTGGGGAAACGTGTGTGTTTTTCATAAATGATGACAGAGCGAGTCTGTGGAGATGAACTCTCAGAGGTTGTCTTGTCACGTGGAAATGTGTGCGTTCAATCGCTCACCTGTAGGCATGTAACACAGTTCAGGCTCAATGCCAGCATGACAAGAGCCAAAGTCAGCGAGGCAATATTGCGTCCGTCCCACAGAGACTCCACTAAAGGAATGCTGCCCACCTGCCGATCAGAAGTCACGCAGTCAAGCAAACGCTCACTCAGATGAAGCGACAGCAGGGTTTTTCTGTGGTTGTCGTTTACCTGCCAGTCGTAGCAAAGCATTATGGGAGCCAGCAGGAGCCAGGCGTTGAAAGCGAGCAGATAGCAGTATGTGAGGAACCTAAAAAAGACAGAAATGTTTACTAAAAGATACAAATTTTCAGGCTTTTCCACAATACTCGAGTGTTTCTCTATCACCAAAGATTTCCCAGATAGGATCAGGTTTAGTTCAGGACTCATGGGTGGCCATTTCATTATTACAGTGTGTTTTAGCAGAGCCAAAACTGCTTTATCTTTCTGCTCAATGTCCTGCATCACAATTGCTGGCTGATTATGTGATGAACACAGGGAAGGAAGCGAAGGTTGCAGAAGAAACTTGTTATAAACGTTGGCATTTACTGCACAGTACGTAACACACATGAAACTGCTTTACTAGTAAAAGTGAAACATCAGTTCTCCCTCTGTAGTTCATGTATGGGAGGAAATGTCAAGGTTTTCCTGCTTTTGTGTGCATTTCAGACTGCAGGCTGATTCTGAATCCCGTTGCAGCCTTTATAGTCTCCAGTGCAAGAAAACACATTGTCTTTTTTTTGTGTTAAATCTTTTAAGATGAAGATATGTGAGGGATGGCATTGAGACAGACCTGGTGAGCAGATATGGAGAGAAGGATGCAGGATTGTCTTGCTCGGAGAACAGCGGCATGGATCCACCCATCAGCCATAAGCGGACAGACATGATGACTGTAACCTGAAGAAAAGAGCAGTAAATATACTTGTGAAACTCACAGCCAGTCAGCACAGGGAGTCAGTGGGGCTTTGAGCACATGTGATAGAAATGCTAATGATTTAAATGAAAACTAAGTGACTTTTCATCATACAAACAAACAAAAAAAAAATGTACGTATGAAACACATGTGGAATGAAAACCTGTAAAACGTGATTTTGTAGCACAAAAATTTCCTTTTTATTTTCCCATGAACATTTTAGACTAGATTAGAAAATAAAAATAAGATCTACCTTAAAAAAAATCTGCAAATATAACAAAAAAAAGAAGAAAATCAAGTTATAAAAAAAATTTAAATAAAAATCTCCATAAATTTATAACACATACATTCTATACACCATATACTGAAAAACACCTCTACTGTATTTTTAACGTTTTTGTGACCGTAAACTGAAAAACATTCTGCCGTATTCTTAACGGTTAATTTCTGGCAACCACAGCTGCCAGTTTTTTACCGTAAATTTTACATGATTTTTTTTACAATGTAAGGAAAACGATTGCAAAAAGTACTGTAAATTTATAGCCCAACTTTTGTAGCATAATTTATGTTCAACCCAGACAATATATCATATGAAACTACAGCATGTGTCAATAAAAACACAATCCCCCTTAATTTATTAGGGATAATTTCTATTTTAATACACTGTTAACAGACCGACATGTTTACAGTGTAGTTCAACAGCTAAAATTATTAAGGAGAGTGACATAAAACCTTAGAAAGCACTGTTTAATATAACAAATTTGCTATACATTCTTAAAAACAAGTCTATTCTGCCAGCTTTAAGTAGTTTTCTAGCATACAGTTGAGCTTTAAACTAACTGTAGTGAGCAAGCAATTTTTTTACAGTATTTCTATAATATTTTGTTTTCTGCAGAAAGTCTTATTTGTTTTATTGCGGCTAGAATAAAAGCAGTTTTACATTTTTTTAACCATTTTGAGTTCAATATTATTAACCCTCTTAAGCAATTTTTTTGGATTGCCTACAGAACAAACCATTGTATACAATGACTTGGCTAATTAAACTAACTTGCCTAATTAACCTAGTAAAATCATTAAACTGCATTATAAGCTGAATAATAGTATGTTGAAAAATATCCAGTAAAATATTATCCGCTGTCATGATGGCAAAGATAAAATAAATCGATTATTAGAAATGACCTTGACACTGTTCTGTTTAGAAATGTGTTGAAACATATACAGGGGTCCTAATAATTCAGGAGGGCTAATAATACTGACTTCAACTGTATATTAAGCTCGAACAAAGGTGTTACAATACTTACATGTAACGAGACGACACAAGCACGTTTGACGAACGGAGAGGAAATTCTGCCGAGCTCCTTCAGCCTGGAGCGGGACAGGTGCCTGCAAACGAAAAAACATAACCAGATGTGACAACAACTCCATAACTCAATCAGCCGATGAACTCATTTTCATTCATTAGCGGCTTAATCAAACCATCAGCGAATTACTTTACAGGGTTTATTAATCTGTTTACTGCTGCTTTCCATTAATTACCTCTCCGTCTTAGAAAACAGCGGAAGAAAGTGACACACACACACACACACACACACACACACACACACACACACACACACACACACACACACACACACACACACACACACACACACACACACACACACACACACACACACACACACACACACACACACACACACACAAATGCTTTCACAGTGCTTTAAAACGCTGCTCTAAACTGGAACAGCATCATCCTTCTATGAGAGCGCAGGGATGTACAGTGAATTTTAATACGGCGTGACATGACACCATGACAGCTGTGACTGGGAATGTGGGCTGAGATGAATGAAAGAAAGGACGAGGCGAGAGAAGGAGGTGGGGGAGGAATGGAGCTCAGGCTGTACGTCGCACTTCTGCTGATTGATTCAGTAAAGAGCTCAGCTTAATGACTATGTGTGTGTGTGTGTGTGTGTGTGTGTGTGTGTGTGTGTATCAGTGCTTTTCAGAGCGTATTGTACTCTAGGGATCTGTTACTGCGCTCGAAGACAGCACTGTAGTTAAAAAAAAAAAAAAAAACCTGCAAGCCTCGCGCCTCCATCCTTGCCCTTCATTGACATTTCCATTTTCTGCTGCTTTGGGCTTGTTACAGGAAAAGGAGAAGTTATAGAAAGTAGGCATGAGGTTTATATGAAACAAAGATTGCTTAATAAAATAAAAAAATATTCTATTAAGGTTTATTAAGCCACATTTGTTGTGCTTATGTGATCTATTAATCAGCGTTTGTTATTCGGACGAAACAAAAAGTCATTGTAATGTATCAGATTTCTCTGATGGCATCTTAAGGGGTGTAACAGTTCAAAGAAATTGGGCTCATTTCCTATTTTTTGTATCTTAGGGTGCTTTCACACCTGCCTAATTTAGTTCGATTGAATCGCACTGGAGTTCGTTTTCCCCTCTTGGTACGGTTCGTTTGGGCAGGTGAGAATGCAGCTATCGTACTCGAGTGCGCACCAAAAGCGGACCAAATAAGCGTACCGAGACCTGCCTGAAGAGGTGGTCTCGGTACACTTTCAAACGAACCCTGGAGCGGTTCGTTTGTGGTGAGAATATGATCTTAATTGAGGATTAAACCAGACATTATACCATATACACTGTTTAATTGAACAAATTTGCTCATCCGTGCTTGAAATCAAGCCTATTCTGAAAGCTTTTAGTATTGTCTGCCGTGCAGATATGAAAAGACGTTCCTTTTCTGATGACATCATCAAAGCCACTAACTTTCAGCCAATGGGAAGTAAGCAATGTTACAAAAAGGAAGGAATCTGACCCAAAATGCAAAGTGGCACGCCAATTAAATAAGATGAAGTCATGCCTGACATTTTTTCCCTCATTAAATTCACTTGGAAATATCACAGTAAATGCAAATGCTGCTTCGTTTTCAAATGCCTCCCGGTTCTAGATTTCTGCCACCACGCATAATTAGACCCACGACCATAAATATACAAATAAGACCTTAATATCTGCTGTGCAATTAAATGCATTATAGCTGCTAAGTCGAAGACAATTACAGCTCGTCTACTCTTAATAGCGAAATGCAGATAAGAAATCATGCTAATGGAAAGGGAAGCGTTTACTTGACGTTAAGCATTTGTTACAGATACTCTTAGAAATACTGCACGGGCATAGAGAAACAGAAACAAAACAAGTGTCAGCTTAAGCATTTAATAATAGACTGCAAATACACACATACACACACACCAAAATCCCTTTCTCTGCCTCTGAAATGACTTTTCTTTACTGATGACATCACAAAGGCCATCAAGTATCAACAATGGGGATGTTCCCAGTCCTACTTATCGATAAATCAAACCCTTTCTCCGCATAGTAAATCAACTTTCACTTTTAACGCCATCATCAAGACATTTCACATTTCAGCCAATGGATGAATCTGAACCAAAACGCTAATTGGAGTGCCAATTAAAGGAAACGCAGGTATGCCTGACATTTTTTCCCTCATTAAACGCCTTGTAAATATCACAGCAAATGCAAATGTGGTTTTATTTTAAAAATAGCCTCCTAAAATGATTTTATATTCCTGCCACCGTGCATAATTAGACCCCCCCCCCCACACCATCACCACACACGTATATTAACAAACAAGATTTCCCCATCTGCTGTGGCATTATATGCATTATAGCATCTAAGACAAGTATGCCACGTCTACTCCTAATAAGCAATCCTGTTAATGGAAATGGAAGCGTTTACTTAATGTTAAGTGTATGTTGATGATTCCCTTACGAATATTGCACTGGGGTAGGGTTACGGGAGAAAAACAACTGTCAGGTTAAGCATTTAATAATAACAAAGCCTGCAAACATCCACTGAGAGACAGCGTGTCTGCAGGCATTACGACGACTATCAGTCATCTTCACACACTCGCACAATTCACATTGTGAGTGTGTGTGTGAGAGAGATTGTGTCTCATGTCCTCTCAGGGTCACGGGGAGCAGCGAAGGTTTATGAGCACTTTTGAAAATCAAATAAAGCTACAGAGCCCTGATTCCCCAGACGGAGAGAGAGAGATGGAGAGAGAGAGAGAGAGAGAGAGAGAGAGAGAGAGAAAGAGAGAAAGAGAGAAAGAGAGTCAAAAAAGAGAGAGAAAAAGGCTGAACCCCTTATCCATTATTGAAGCTCTCTGTCCTTATCATTTATTGTTATATACTTTTGTTAATCTTTTTTTTTTAATTAACTTGTTTATTGTGACAACATATATGTATAATATAACGATATGTATTTGTGTTTGTTTATTATTACTTATATTTCTTTTATCTATATGAATGTTCTGTATTTTGTTATTGCTTTGGCAACATTGTGATTTGTTTTACAGTCATGCCTATAAATCTCTTTGAATTTGAATTTGAGAGAGAGAGAGAGTTCCACAAGGCTACAGCCCATGTCCTTCTGTTTTTATATGTGTCACAGATGTCCGTTTCTGCCATTATTGTTAACTTCCTTTGACCAAGACACAATATTAGTTCACAAAAATGATTTAAATTTAATATTTTACCTAAAACATATTCATTACACATTTAATAATCAAGGTACAATTGTTTTCTTTCTCAAAATAGTTAGTAATATATATATTACGCACTGTTACGAGTGTGATATTGCGTTTATACAACAGTTGGACAGCGTAATTTTGTACATAAAAACAAAATCAAACATGGAGAGTCTTATAAACCCTTTTGTATGAGGAACTACTTTATTACGCGTTGGATTCAAATCATAAGTTGACAGTTAAACAGCTGAGCAAGCATCTTTTAAACTTTAGATCTGTAGTGTCTGCTTTTTGCTGGCTGTTTGTGGGCGGAGTAATACACAAAGGGTAAAGAGGCTGTACAGGTGCTGATATTACTAAAATATATCATAGCTATCAGCCAATCAGATTCGAGAACCAGACAGAACTGTTATATATATATATATATATATATATATATATATCCACGATAAGGTGTTCAAAAGGGTTCAAAGGGTAATAAATAAAGCAAAAACTTTAAGACATTTGAATTCAATTACAACACTCCAATTATACAAAAAACAGCACGTGCCTGTACGTAAACAACGACAGCATGTGCACACATCGGATTATCCATTTTAAATGTCTTAATAATGGATTATAAGAGCTTCTGCTGCTGAATGTTTGATGTCATGTTTATCTGTGAGGTCTCTGTTGTCCCCGGGGTTGTGTGCTCTGTGACTAATGCACAGGAATAGAGGCATGTCTTAGAGTTTTTGATCTCTGCTGAACACATGGGAGCGATGAGAGACTCGAATGCATAAACATCACTGAAGCTGAACATAATTTAAGAGAGTGGAGCTGTAGAGTTGTGTGTTCAACAGAATCACGCATAAGTGTAGTGGGAGACGGTGAGACGTTAGAATAGATGCACAGATGTTGCTGATAACTTTACCATTCACAAATGTGTTCTTTGTGCTTTCCAAGGCATTTGGGTGGTACTAGGGTGTTTTTTGGGGGGTTTCTAAAGTGTTTGCATTGCTGTGGGTGGGTTTTATGATTTCCAAGTGGTTTCTTTTAATAACAATAATAATTCCGTCACTATACTGGCGCATTAAGACTCACACAGACCACAGGTTGGGCGCCCTGGGTTTCTAAGGCATTTGAGGTTGTTGCTAGGGGTTTTCTAAGTGATTCCAAAGGTGTCTGAGTTGCTAGGGTGTATCCAGGTAGTTTTTATGGGTGTTTCTAAGTGGTTGTTAAGGTGTATTTGAGTGGTTGCTATGGTGTTTCTCAGTTGCTAAGATGTTCTGAGTGGTTGCTAAATACTTATGAGTAGTTTCTAAGGTGTTTCTAGGCAGTTGCTAAGATTTTCTGAGTGATTCTTAGGTGGCTATCAAGGTGTTCTAAATGTTCTAAGTGGTTTCTAGACAGTTGCTAAGATGCTCTTAATGGTTCTGTGGGTAATTTTTTGGTGTTTTGAATGTTTGGAGTAGTTTCTAGCGTGTTTTTAGGCAGTTGTTAAATAGTTCTGAGGGGTTTCTAGGTTGTTTTTTAGGCAGCTGCTAAGATGTTTTGATTGGTTCTTATGGTGTTTTTATGGTGTTCTGGATGTTCTGAGGGGTTTCTAGGTGGCTGCTAAGATGTTCTCAGTGGTTCTTATGGTGTGTATGGCGTTCTGGATGTTCTGAGTGGTTTCTAAGATGTTCTCAGTGGTTCTTATGGTGTGTATGGCCTTCTGGATGTTCTGAGTGGTTTCTAAGATGTTCTCAGTGGTTCTGTGGGTGTTGTAAGGTGTTTTGGAATGTTCTCAGTGGTTTCTAGGATGTTCTCAGTGGTCATTTGGGTGTTTTATGGTGTTCCGAATGTTCTGAGTGGTTTTTGGGATGTTCTCAGTGGTTTCCTATGGTGTTTTATGATGTTCTGAGTGGTTTCTCGAATGTTCTCAATGGTTCTGTGGGTGTTGTAAGGTGTTTTGGAATGTTTTCAGTGGTTTCTAGGATGTTCTCAGTGATTCTTTGGGTGTTTTATGGTGTTCTGAATGTTCTGAGTGGTTTTGGGATGTTCTCAGTGGTTCTTATGGTGTTTTATGATGTTCTGAGTGGTTTCTAGAATGTTCTCAATGGTTCTGTGGGTGTTGTAAGGTGTTTTGGAATGTTTTCAGTGGTTTCTAGGATGTTCTCAGTGATTCTTTGGGTGTTTTATGGTGTTCTGAATGTTCTGAGTGGTTTTGGGATGTTCTCAGTGGTTCTTATGGTGTTTTATGATGTTCTGAGTGGTTTCTAGAATGTTCTCAATGG